TCAAAAGGAATAAACATTTGTATATGAGGAGGTAGTTTGTCGGGATTTTCTCTTAATTTTTCAATAAGATTCCGACGAAAATTAAGTAGAGTTGGACATTTATAATCATTCGCTTGATGATCGCCTCCACAATGGTGACATAATACATTGCATTGTTTATGATCACCATGATTTCGATCATTTCCACATCTTCTGCATCTTTCATAATCTAATTTACATAACTTTTTTGCATGTCCAGGAGAATTGCATTTGGTACATAACAAAATTTTTGGTGCGGGTAAATATTCATCAACTTCACATAACATACCACCTAATGTAATTGTACCACTATTTAAAATATTGTTGTATTCATTTTTATCATATACATCCATTCTAATATGTCTACTATGCATTCTTCTGGTACCGTTCATTTCTTCGATATGATATATAGATGAATAACGGTTTTTAAGATCTTCTTCAATATCAACAAAAGCATAATCATTTGGTACAAACTTTATCACTATTACATGCTGTGGTGGTAAATGAATAGGCAACATAGGATTAAGTTTAATTGAGTCAATATATTCAGGATAATGTCTTATATCACATAAATAAACATACAATGATAAATCTTTGGTAATTCCTACAAGATCACCCTCATTGTTTATCCACCAATAATCAAATCCAAGTGTTTTTCTATAATCAATGTGTTTCTTTCTGAAGGAATTTTCTATTCTTTTAAAAAATTCTTGTACGAACTTTAAAGCAGTATTTTTATCAGATAAAGTCGGATTGCATTTTATTCTCAATGGTGTAAGATGAAGATCAGTAGCATAAGATATTGAGTGATCATTAACAGGATAGACATGAATATTTATTTTATCATTTTGATTTGTTTCATAATTGTTTGAATATTTATTCACATAATGAGATGAGTCATCAGCATGTTCTTTTGTTTTCGTTCTTCTCGAATAGATTCGATAATTGTTTGTTTTCCGGAGTTTATCATTGTTGCATGACTCATCGATTTGATCCATGTTATTAATACGTTGTTCCTCACCACGTTGAACTTTACGTTTTTGATAATTTTGATTTTTCTTCACTGTAGTAAATACATTATTATCATTGTCGATTAATAAAATAGATTCTTCATTGTCACTGTCGTTTTGAGTTTGTGATGTAGCTTGCCTTTTTATAGATCTACTTTTTGGACTATCATTATTTGATTGAATCAATTTATCATGCAATTTTTGTAGACTATGACCATCAACACGCTTTTCTTTGTCCGCCAATGATTCATTGGCATAAAAAGTGTAATTATCCACCATTTAAATTAATGAATATAAATAAATAACACAATCAGGTACACGTGACCTATTATATGTAAGAGATATTCGCGTCTTATCGATATAGTAGAAGAAGCAGGAATGAAACTTCGCTTCTTTATCTACATGTGCCTTCTTGAACACGTGTTCGTTGCGCTGCTAACATGAATAGGTCATTTAGAATAATTCTTCAATAACAATCGACCTTTATATTCTTACAGATACTTTTGTATGTATAATAAATTGCATTATAGTTTGCGGGTGTGGATGTGTAAGAATTGGTCTACTAGATCACGTGTTTTTGTTGTGTCCGACTTCATCAGATGATTTGATGATAAGAATACTTTTAGAATAGTTCATCAAAACCGAGGTATTGGAAGCCTGAATCATTAAATTTGCACTATCTTTCGATATAGAATTATTGAATTAGTCAGCCATATCTATTGAAAAGTCCAAAAAGGAAAGAATGCTCATCAGAGTGTGGGTGGCGAGGGTAGCAGCGTGTAGCTTCGCTGGAGCTGTGGATCAGTGTAGATGTCCTTCTACCTAAAATAAGATACATGTCAGCATCTATACCCATACGGACTCGCACCTTTGGCTCACACACCGACTACCATCCAGAATCCTCCACACCTACTCTCAATATAGTTCGAAAGTGATGGCTCTGAATTTCATATTATAGTAGGCGTTAAAAGACTTTTCTTTCTGTGCTTTTAAGAAAAATCGTATCAAAGTATCTTTTTTCAACTAAAGTTGGATAAAACTAATTTATTATTTAGCCCCACTAAAGATAACGTTTACAACCTTTTCAAGTATCGTATTGGGTGATCGTAAACGAGAACCACATCTCAAAATCTTGTTTGACATCTCCATTTATTATAGCAATCTTTCACCTCTGCATGCATCGTGATACGAAATCAGCAGACTTATTTTGAGATTTATTGGTATAATAAATAGTGACATTGTTAGCATACTCCTATCAATATTCTTTGGATTTATATAATTTCTTACTTCTGTTCGATATTGACCAGTAAAAATGTATGTGGTTCATTTTGTTCTTTTTACATTTATATTGCTCGCCAACAGAATAGGTACTGATCTTTTTAAAAAGCTTGTCGTCACTGAAAAAATGCAATAATCTATTCTCTGTAGAGCCTGTCAACTTCAATCCACAACTGCGTTACGAAGCATGTATCGCAACTGTTGATTGCTCATGGTTCCAGTCGGATCTTGATGTGATCAGTCTGCTGCCTTTTAACTGGTCTCCTGAACATTCGCAATATACAATTGATGCTGAAGAACGCGTGATCACTTTGTCAATAGTACGTGAAGATAAAATTCCGTTGATCACGTACTGCTTGAAAAACTTAAATTCTCTACATGTCAAAGAGAGCAACATAGACCGCTTGCCGCCCGAAATACGATTTCTCTCCAAGCTTAATTATATTGACCTGGATCAAAATGAAAATTTTACACACGTGGCGGAGGAAATCGGGGAGTTGATTGAGTTAAAAAGTCTTTGAATTTCTAAGAGCAGAAAGTTGGCGTATCTACCTGCCGACATTGGTAAACTTATCAATCTTCGAGAGTTGGCCGTCACACATGGTAGCCTGGAAGATGTTTCAAGCTCAGTAGGTCACCTCCAAAATTTGGAATCATTAGACTTCAGTGGCAACCGTCTTGCTGGATTGCCGCATAATCTGAAAGGGCTTACATCTGTACGTTCGCTGAAACTTAACAACAATCCTATCATGTCATCACTGCAAGAGATAACTGTACTTGCTAATCTACGTCAACTATACATGGTAGGTTGTGGATTGAAAGAAATCCCTTTAATGATTACCAACATGATCATGTTAGAAAGTATTGACCTTGGTGCCAATGAACTTACATCTATTCCCTATAATATCGCGAAATTGACGAATCTGCGTTCGCTTTATATGGGTGGAAACCGATTCATCGGAATTCCCAAAGAATTAACGTTACTAAAAAATTTGACAGCATTGTATATGGACGGCAGTAGTATCATTGATATAAGTAGCGTTGGCTCATTGAAACAAATGCGGTATCTCTATCTTAAACGCAATCAAATCATATTCGTTCCATCCGATATAGGAAAACTCAGCAAGACACTGGAGCAGTTATACTTGAATGAAAACAAATTAACTAGTTTGCCGACGGAACTGGCCCAGATGAACCAACTCAAGACGTTGAATATAAGCAATAATGAGTTCACAACCGTTACAATAGAATCAATCAAAGACATGTTTGCTAATAACACTTGGACAAGGGTTTACTATTGAGAGACATAAACGAATCAACTTTAAAATTTTGTCGTTCTGGATAAAAATATAACTCAATGAACCATAATTTTATTAATCAATCTTTTTTCAAATAAAGCAACAGAGATCAGAATTCAAGATCTCATACTGATCTTCTCTGTCACATGCACGTAAATGTATGAGTCTCGAAAAACTTCACAGAATTTTAAGTAGTATTTTAACTAGAATCTTGAATTGTTGTGATCTCCTCGAACCAGAAGCCGAAACAGAGCGAAAAAGCAAGGGGAGGCGAGTAACACAACTATATCGCTGAAATTTCCCAAGTGAAAGTTTTATAATGAAATTATGCATATTGAGAATGTGTAACCATAATAATTAGCATACATTTTATGACGGATGTGCTAGATAATATCAAGGAGAAAGAAACTGATTCCTGCAATATACTTTTTTCTTTCATTAGGTTCAATTCATATCTTATACGTTCTTATGATTTCCAATACATTGAAATTCTATCAAACCTATTTGTATTTTTAAAGACGACTTCTATATATTTCAACCAAGACATACTTTTATAATTGGTAATATAGCATTATGTAATTTCAATAGATGACCCATAAGGAATGAAGCATTTTTATTTTCTTTTTTCGAAAACTGCAATCACATTTCAAAAGTTCCATTGCCACCTCTTTTAATGTGTACAGAATTTTTTGCTTTTTTTAAATATTATTGACTTTGCTTTTTCCATTAGCTTTTCTTGTTGATAAAAACCTAGAAACACTTACCAATACTCGATTATTCAAATGTGACAGTTTATATAGCCAGATTGATAAACCATTTTCGAAATAAGAGCTTTACCCAACTTTGGAATGTGCTACAAAATTCTCAATCAGTTGATATACGTAAAGAAGTTTTTGAAAAAAGTACTCTAGAGACAATTTAGTAAATAATAATTCGAAACTTTGAAAAGTTTCTTTTTTTTTTCAGTAGATGTCTAGCAATATTTTTTCTTATTTTAGTCCAACCAAAAAATTTCCTTGGCCAGTTTAAATTTTACATCGTCTTTTTTCGGATTAAACCTTATGAAGATCAAGGCTATGTAGAACATTAAAATTTCTATTTATTGATGCGAAATACTTCCAACTTAAAATAGGACTTGATGACACAGCAGCTTACCGAGATTGATTGATGTTCAAAGAAAATATTGAAGATCATAGTCAGGCGACTAAGCATCTGTTAATATTTGGAGCCTGAAGATGTGGGTGTTGGAGTCTTTTGGTCATTTACACTCACATACCCACACCCGTCTTGAAAAAGTAAAAACAACATGAGAATGGATGCTTTAGGGAAGAAATTTCAACTTTGAAACACATATCTATGATGTTTTGTACCTTCATTGAGCAGAATATCACAACATTTAATTGTAAAAAACAAGAGCTCGCACTTCTACCGAGTTTCTAGTTGGTCCTTCCTTTGCACCTTGAGCATCGTAGAATGCAGTGTGGGGCGCCAGACCAGCCACATCTCTCAATAATGCCTCGTCCACTTGAGCTGCACTTGTTTTCACCGTTGAGAGAGCTCGACTAGCGCTATCATAGCATTTCAAAAGCATCACCTCATCCGGTGTCATCTTTGACCAGTAACACCATCGATGTTGGGGATTGTGAACAATAGAATAGGTTTCTCCATTCGGCAACGGAGGTGGATAGATAAGTGTTGTTGGAATAAGATCGTTGACTACATTGATACTACGAAAATCAGCCACAGCGAGTGGATAATCGTATACAGGGTTTTTCAACGGTCGCCATACATTAATCAATTGAAAGCGCTTCCATGGAACGTTTGATGCATGTCGTTGCACTCGCATATGAGCACTAATAGGTGTTTGATCAACGTGCACCCGTTGTACAGGCTGACGCTTCGATGGGGAATCATCCAACTCACCTGGTCTCACTTTACGTACGGTATGATCGAAGAAAACAACGTGATTGGCGCCTGTGACACGTTTTAGCAATTTTTCGACCTCACCATAATATGCTTCTTTTACTTGTTCTTCTGTCCCATTGAGAATAAGATCGGCATCGACTGTGCTTGGCGAATGAAGGGCTTGGAAGCCGGTGACGTCGATGTGTGTGTCCGATTCATAGCCTCGTATGTCATGTATGGTGGTCTGGACGGGTTCAACTTCAAAGTTCTTTTCGCGCTCTCCATTATTCGAAGCATTGATGTTAATGAACCAATGTTCTGATATACTGTTGGAAGGCAGGGCTTTGCTGTAGATTAAAGTAGCATTCACATCACGAGTGGTGCTGGAGTTGCCGTCAAATGTCATTGTTTTGGCTGTATGTACTTGTTAGAGATCTGCCCCTTTTATAGAATGTCCGATGGAAGAATGAGACAACGGTTTATATATGTGATCACTAGAACAAAGCTTGTTTCACTTCAGTCAGTGAGATAGTGCACATGTTGATAACGTACTGACGGCGTAGGTCAATACCAGAATGAGCCGTTAAAAATTACATTGTCCATTATTCGAGGATATAAGAGTGGTATATAAGAAATAATATTCTATAGTATATGAACGATCCTTCGCACATGCAGTTTTTTTTTCTTTTCATCAATCCCTTTACTCTGTTATCTTCACCACGTTTTGCACTTATCGCAAGGCTTAAAGAGAAAAGAATAGCTGAAAGCGGTAAGCTTGACTGATATGCATAGTCATGTTTATACTGCAATTCTATCTTTCAGTTATCGATATGTGTCATCGTTGAATAAACCTCTCTATTTCGAACATTTTCAAGATGTGTTTTTGGTGCGAATATTTCCATAATAAACGCCTATAAATACGCATTAGATAATATAAATTCAGTCGTCTAAAAAAGTACCATGTCTATCTGTCACAGTGTCTGAGGCAGTGTAAGGGTTCATTTTTCGCACTATATAATTCTACATTTATTACAACTCGGATCTCACAATAAACTACTTGGGCCAATGCAATAATAATGACGAAGGTATTTTAGTGTCTTATAGAAACCTGTAAGAAATTTTCTATCTATGTAGTCTGATAGTAAAAACAATACACTTTTTTTCTGTAACATTTGATCATTCTTCAACTAATATCATAATAATAAGTTTTCAATAAGATCTGTTTTGCTACGATATGCGCTGGTTGTATCAGGTCATATTTTATCTTCAATGTGTATTGGCTTCTTGTATTCTCTTCGTTCTATTCCTCTCGTTTTTTTTCTTCTTTTTTTGTCTCCTTCAATGCCTAACCGTCGATACATATTAGTATATAAGAAAAATAGTAGCAGTAGAACAAAAAAGAAATATAGAAACGAATTCATCAAGTCTTTTTTTCGTCAAATGCTCGAAGTAATCGCTGTGGTTTTCCACGCACAATTGCATTCATTGAAACCATTTGTCGAACACTGTTCTATAGTCTTCGTTATTTCAAAAGTTCATGAAGTTGGACACACCACAATGCAACGCTTCTGAATCATTTTGATCGATCAGATTGTGCTCGATTAAGTCGAATAACCAAAAATTGCATGGTGTCAGATTCGGAAAATTATGCAAGTGTTGAATTATTACAATACCTTCAAGTTCAAGGTAATTTGACACATCTTTATGAATATGTGGTGTGGATGAGTAGGCGCAAGTCTTCTCTCGGCTACAGCCACACCCTACCTTTTAAAGAGACATCATCCTCTATATTTCAGAAAAATAGAATAAAAAAAATCATAAATCAAGATGAAATATTGACTCAGACTCTTTATCTTGATTTTTCTATTCATTACTAACATCTAATCCTGATCAATTGAGTTATATCCAAAGCACATTTAACATATTGATAAGTCTCTTGTTTACTCATAATAGACCTTGTTCATAAATATATATTTTGTTTGCTCTTATATTGTTTTTTCGAGTATTGAATTGACTTTGACTTACAATTCACAATACGTGTCTTATATCAACTCATTTCATCCCTTTATCGAATAGGATTATTTTAATTATTTGGAAGTATAGAAACTTATTGCTACAAATCCATTGACTTTTACACGACAACATAGTCGATAAATTTCCACTAAGTGTGCAAATTTTGAAGCTCGATCATCGAGATGATTACTTCAAGTTGCGCATCTTTTCACAATATTGTTTAGGTAAGTGAATAGAGAAAGAATAAAAGTTGCATAAACATATGAGTGCTAGAGAGCAAGTTACAAGCTCAAATCAGTGTTAAATAAACCTAATTAGTAAGCTTGCTAGCTTTAATTCTGTAGCTCTTGACATACCAAGAATATTTTTTTTTGTTTAAATCCTCTTCATATATACTTGAATAAAATGTACTAAAACAATTAATAACAATATTTTCATTTTTATACGATTCTAAGGTAAACGACTCACATGATTGGTATTATTGTTTCTGCGTGCTAAAATTAAGGATTCACAATGTTCTTTTGAATCCAGTAACAAATAAATAAGATCCAATAAACGAAAATTGTTGATAGCAAAAATAATTAACATAAACTACTCTATTTCTGCATGGAAAAATTTAATAGTTTTTAAAGTACCATAATACTTCCGCATTGAAGATTTGAAACAGAATTTGTAATATAATTGAGTCAGCCGTATCAATGACTACTTCACAAATATCCTCTCCAGATATCCATAATATATCTCATCGTAATGTCGCTAATATTTTTTTATAGTTTTTACGTCACATCTAGACGTATTTTCACAACTAAAGATGGTCGTATTACTACATGTTCATGAGTCGGATGCCAGTGATCTTATGCCTTACTTGTCAATAATTGTCCATCGAATAAAATGTCTATATTAACCTGTGAAAATCTTCTCACAATTCGATAAAGAATCGACTTACCAGTTACATTTTTCATAGTACCAATCAAAAAGATGGCATTCATATTCAAGAACTCATTTCATCACTCTATCAATTTCAATACTCTCTCGTCTATCTATGACTTTGATGTTCATGATTTTGTATCACTCAAATATTTGCTCATGTTTCTTCCCGAATCGTTCACACTTGATAAGAATAATTACTGGTAATTCATTTGAAAGTCGATTCTCCACTTCTCTTTTCTGTAGAAAATTTTTCTCTCATGCAAATTCACTTAGACATAATGTATACAGCATTTTTAGTCTGAGTTGTTTATAGAATACTGGGTAACTATATTATTGGTCAAAAATTTTCGTCAACACAGTATTTTGTCGAAAGAATATTTCATCAACAAAATACCTTACTAATAGTTGCATGTCGAAGAAGGTTCAGGATCTTCACATTTCTAATTGCGACAGTCAAGGTTTGCTAAACACAATCTGTTACATTAATGCGTTCAATATTAGACATAAATATATCTATAGGTGATGGATTCATTAATACAACGATTACTTGACTCAATTGGAAAACTGCATATACGAATATTAAATATTGATACTAAACTCTTGCTGGATTTTAGTGCTAATAATTTCAATATAGACTGATTCTCATCTTTGAAAGTATTAATTGTTCGACAAATCAATAGTTTTACTATTGTTAAACAGTTGACAATTGTCACTCGTTTTGGCGCGTCATCGTCAATTCGTACTACTCATTTACCGGCATATAGAGTAAATTCTCAGTTCACAACTATAACGATTCTCTTCTAGTTATACGTCAGATCTGTCATAATATGTGTAGATTGAAAGCGATGATAATCGAATTCGCCACAGATACTTTCTTTAGCAATAGAACGTTGGAAAAGTTCACCGAAACACAAAAGAAAAACTGTCATTTAGAATATATTCATGTATCAAGTGTTGATATTGAATTGTGATTCGACCAATTATTCTAGCCACGTTCATATTTTTTCTGATCAAATGCAGAAAAAAAAATGTTGTATCTGTCTTTAAATGTGTAAAACTACTTTGTTTTTCTATATTGTATTTGATAATGAGTTTGAAAGGACATTTGCAGTTCAAATAATATTAATTTGGTGTTAGAAATAGGAAGAAACCTTTTTGAGTTCCATATGAAAATATTTTTATTGTTAAAAGAAATGTAGAACATAAAATCGAGTTGTTTTTCATAATATATAATGTACCTGAATTGAAAAAACTTGAGGCAACATAAATAACCAAAAAGATAATATTAATTCTGTCAAACATATGTGAATCTGCTTCCTAATTTTAATTAGCTCGAAACAGTCTGGTCCATCTCTTTTCTGCTTATCCATTTGTTCTATCACTCCACTTCTATGTGAGTTTTTCTTTTTTTTTAAATATATGTGGGTGTGGTTGTTTGTGAAAAGAAGACTCACGTCTGCATTTTTTATCAGTATCTATCTTGATCGAACGGAACATAATACAGGTGAAGTGTCATTGTTGAGATTTACATTCAAGTGATGTTTGTTTTTTTTCTACAATAAAGTTTATCGACCTATTATTTTTCAGATAGTTTGATTTGAAATTAGTATGTATAAGCACATATTACAGCATCATCATGTTTTCTGAAATTTGTATCATAGCTGCTTTTATTTATTGAGAGCATCGACTATGACATCAACAAACGATACAATTATAATCAATGTGCCAGAAAAGAAGTCTCTCACATGATTGGATGAGTCTTGTCCAATTGTCATGCAATCATTTTACAAGAACTCCAGTCTGATACGCTGTATCTTTTCACACAATCTAATATTTACATGAAAGTTTCTGCCTTGAGTTTTGCATTTCATCATGCGACTCCACTTGTATATCGTCTTTCATTTAAAGGTGAATGTCGTGCGTCAAAACATGGATCAGTCTTTCAGCTCGAGTTCATGTATAACAATCATTTGTTTTGCAACGACCATCAACTCATACTAAATGACGGCTGTGGTCCATCGTACAATGTTCCAGTTCACTGGCACACTCCACCGGTACATGCGTCTTATGAGATTTGTATTCACTACGAAGTAGTTCACCTGTCGAATCGAACTCATCTAATTGATGTTGGCTTTCGACTGCTGTGGGTACACCATTTCCAAAGACTGCGCTTTGGATCAGTAAAGCGAAATTGACAATCAAACTGACACAATACAATTCAAACGTCAACCATGGTTTGCTGATGGTTATACCTCATGCATCGATTGGATAATTTATGAAACGAAAAGTCTGCATTAAGTGATGCTTCTATTATCTTCTTAGGTGTGAGTGTTGATGCAAGGGTGGTAGTCGGCAAAAATAAGATTCACACCCGCACACCACATTCGGAACAGGATGATGACTTTTTTTTTATCTGTATTGTGATTTTTACTAAATGCTTCTTCATATTCTCTATCAAGTTAATATATTTTTTTCTTGAAGATGACATATTCATTTAATGTGAAATAATAAATCATATTTGTTTTTATTTCGATCCAAATCAATGTTAACAAAAGGAAATTTTTTGAAAATTGAAGTAAAATAAAGACAGAATCAACAGAAAACGATCAAGAATCAAAATAAAATCGTCTAAATAGTTTTCGATTCAAGTAATTTTAATTCTCGTCCAACAACAATTCACTATAACAAATTCATGAATTTAAAACTTATTTTTCTCATGTTCTCATATTTTTTATATCGTCTGTAGTAGTTAAATGTAACACTGATTTATGTCTATTATACTATGATTGAATACAAAAAAAGTCTTCAACTTAATGGCATATTTTCAATATACATATTTGTATATTGATTCGTAGAATGATTGGGTGTAGGTGGTTTATTGTTTTTGGGCATATATTTCATCTACCAACTCAAACCCGCATCCACACCAAAATCTTAAATATGCTTGAATTTGTCTTATCTCGTTTTTAAGTATTTTATGTTTTTAGCTGTATGAATACTCCATCGATAATTTCTTCATCTATTTGCTGTCGATAACACAATGGGAATAGTAAAATGTGACTTGCGTAGAAAGGATAGAGTCGTTAAGTGATAAAATCGGATTACTTTCGAAGTTGACTTTATTATTTCTCGAATAGTCAATCTGATTGTAAGAAGTCGGTTATCGTTCAAATTACATCACTAGACTTCATTAGAGCAACGCTCGCCCGACTCAAAACTTGATATTATCGATTTCCTATAGTCTTATGCAATGCTGTGTTTACCTGCGAAGTTTCGTTCTCTTCTTCAGCTACTTTAATTTAACTATTATATCAAATAGAAGCTCTGTCTTTTCTCTATCGAACGGTATATAAAAGTATAAGAAGAAAAGTTGTTCTTTCCATTTTTCTCTTAGATGACATCGTTCGTTTGCATGTACAATATAAGAACGCTTATGATAGAACTCTCTCACTATGGGGCTGTGAAAAGCAGCAACTTATTTTTAACTATTTATCATTCGATAGACTTTTTAAAGCTCTACAAAATTGTACTATTGCATTGAGCCTAATTTATGGTCAAGGCACTCGAATCAAACGTACAATAATTATGAGTTTCGAAAGTTTCTGTTTTTGACTAATATTTAATCAGTGTTGGTCAGAATGATCAGGCTTTGTATGAAAACAAATAATAGTTTTGGAGTCAACATTCCTTAGAGTTACATGGAAAAAGTAAACTCAGTTACAACACCGCTTTTATTATTTATTCATCTGTCGTTTTAGATTTTTCTAGATCTTCAAGCACTTAGAAGCGACTTTTCAAAGTTAAAGTGGTGTTTCGACTGACATTATTTTTTTATGTAACCCTGAGGGAAACCACGGCTGACTTTTTTCGACGAAAATAAAAGTTCTAGGAAAACTTTGTGATGCGTATATATCAACTCAATTTTCAATGCTGACTGCGAGACTATTATTTATTTTCATACAGAGCCTGATTATTCTGACTAAAATCGATTCAATATTAGTCCAAAACGACAACTTTTGACACTCATGAACATTGTGCGTTTGATTAGAGTCTCTTCGCCATAAATTAGGCACAACGCCATAGTATCAATTTGTAGAGCTTTAAAAAACCTATCGAATGATGTATAATTTTAAATAGATCGTTGCTTTTACATTTCAATGGTTAGAGAGTTTTGTCGGTATTTATCAATATATCCGAAAGAAAACATAACGAAAAAAAATATCGATCGTATAAAAATGGCGAAGAAATATATTCTCCTAAAAAATGTTGAAAATGTTCCCGATGTCATTAAATAACATTGCTAAGGTTGGAGTGTGAGGATCAGTATGAAGCAAACACTGATATCCACACCTAAATCTCACATCGACATTTATCCACATAAGAAAACATACTGTCTTGTTGGTAGTTTTGTTCTTGAATATTTTTCATAGACTATTATTTTATTGGTGTACTTAAAAATCTCTTACTTTTTTGTATGCAATAAAATATTTTCATCTCCTTGGTCGAGAATCTCAAAATAAACTTAGCTCGACATTTATTTCACTATTCTTTCCTTCGGTTTTTTCTTGTCCAAATTCATGCCATTGGCTTTTTCATCAATGTCCTAATGTTGTAGGTGTAAGTGGACAATATCATTTAAGAGAAAAATGAAAATAACAACTTTTTGTTATACTTCTATATAGCATTCGATAGAGGAAAGAAATAGATTCTACTTGATATAATATTCAAACGAAAGGAGCTGAAGTAGGGAAAGAAACTTTGCATGTAAACACAGCACTTCATGAATTTATAAGATATCGATAATATCGAGTTTTAAGTCAGCCACGCGCAGTCGGAATGAAGTCTAACTACCTAAATTGAATGGCAACCGACCTTTCACACTCGGATTGACTATTCGGGAAATAATAAACTCGACTTTGAGAGGAATTCGATTTTATCACTTAATGACCCCTTTCCTTCTATTTCTTTGCCTATGGTTCTGTTTCTATTTATAGAAATAAAAGTTAAGATAAGATATCTTTCGTTTTATTCTCATATAAAATGTTTGAAACATTTCAAGATATAAAAGAAGAATTTTATCAAAAAAATCATAAGAGTTTTTTATTTGAAATCGACCCATTTGTACCTTAGATATTTACAAAATAATGTCCGGACGTAAAGAATGGCCTGAATTAGTTGGACAAACATTTCAAGCAGCATGTCAAAAAATTTCAGAATTTGATGGCAGTAAGCTTAATCATTCAATTTAAATCTATATTCACTAAAACCTATATTTCATTTCCATCATAGGTTTAACTCCATATAATGCAAGGAACGGACAGCAAGATCGAATGTATGATCCAACTCGTGTCGTATGTGTCACAAGTGACAACGACATTATAACTGAAGTTCCATATTATAATTATCAATAGAACACATCAATAATGCTATGAACCTGATTAATATCTAAACTAGACTTTAAAATTACTTAGAAAAGATACACTTTTTTCCTTTTGTTTATTAGATCACTTAAACATGCGCAAGTTATTTTTATTTTTTTGTTGTTTGTTTATTTTTATTCAATTATTAATTAAAAGAAAGAATTATGCTCATTAGCGTCTGAAAACATGATGTAATTGTGAGATCATTTTCCCATCAACTCAGATCAATTGTATAAATATTATGATTCGTTCAGTAACTTGTGAAATGAATGTGACGATTATTCATTGAAAAAACACATAAAGATCGGTATACTGGTAACAAAATCAATATAACCGCTCAATTAATTCTGACGTAAATGGTTTCAGATGCAAAATCGACGCATTACGTAATTCATAAATCTTTGCTCGGTCGCGTAAGAATGCATGATGATGTATATGATGACATGATAATGTGAGTTAATTTGAAAGAAAAGTTGACTGAGTAAATGACGATGATCTAGTGACTACTATTAGACTATCATCTTTAAATTCTGACATGGACGCTCAAGCTATTTATATTTCGAACTTTCAAAGTAGACCAACTACAAAGCATGTACTTGTGATAGAAAAATGTAATACATATCACCAAATGCATGGAAAACTAATCGAAAAACTAATTTGTATTGTTTATGTTGACTTGTAAAATATGCAGGTTTTTTTTCTTGAATCGAAAAAATAACTATGCATTGCTGAAGTTACTGTGAATTTTGTTACAAACAAATGTTTACAGGGTGTGAGAAAGGAACGTTTATAGTTCATGCTTATCAGAAAAGCGTTTGGAAATATTACTTTGATATATCGCTGTTTACTTCTAAAAAGAATTATAACATTTTTATGAAATGTGAAAAGTCACGTATTCATTCTCAATACTATTGTCGTTAGGCGTCAAATTTATACTACAGATATATATCTTGTTACTCAGCATATTTTGAAAGTTTCAGTCATAAACAGTGACGTTTTCCTTGAGGATACCGCATAGGTACAGAAAAGATAATAGAAAAAGAACTTAACAAACTTCGGTTCGAGCTGCACAAGAGTGCATAAGATATTTATGCAGTATTCTCAAAGAAACTGTCACTGCTTATAACTGAAACTTTCAGACTATACTAAGTAACAAGATATATATATATACATGTAGTATAAATATGAAGCCAAACGACAATAGTGTTGAGAATGAATCGAAAAAAATAGACATGTAATTTATTTTTGATCGCAGTGTGAATACGTGGTTTTTCACATCTCATAAAGAATTATAATTCTTTTTAAAAATCAACAGTGGCATGCCAAATTAGTGTTTCCAAATGTTTTTCTGACGAGCATGAATTGTGAATATTTCTTTATCAGTGTTAAAAAGATCACCGCATTGAGCCAAAGTATAATGGAGATACTCAATTTTCTCTAGTGTAAAGGGAGGGTGAGTATGAATCTCGGGTGTAGATGGAAGTGTATTGTGTGGGGTGTAGATCTAGTAAATAAAGGAACTACACTCACAGCCAAATAAACACAAAAAGAAATCTTATATAAAACACTGATTTCAGTCTATTCGAAACAATTTGATCATATTTGATTAATCTTGTATAAAAAAAAAACAGACTTTCGTAAATTGAATAATAGAAAAATAAAATAAAGAATAGAAAATTTAATTAGAAAAAAAGAGAGATGTTCAATCTCAAAAAGTTTTATATTCGTTGTCATTTTGATAGAAAGGAAAGGATCGTTAATTAACAAAATCGGTTCGTTCTGGAAACAGAGTTTTATTATTTCTTGAATAATCAATCAGAATATGAGAAATTAGTTGCCATTCAAATTACATCGTTAGACTCTATTCTGGTTGCACTCGCCTGATTCAAAATTCGATATTATCGATCTCCTACTATAGGATCATGTAACGTTATATGTTTACATGCAAAATTTCTTTTTCTTCTTCAGCTCATTTACTTTCACTTATATATCAAAAGAGAGTTTTTTCTTTCTTCCATCGAATGCTATATAGGAGCATGACAAAAAATTATTATTTCTCTTTTTCGCGTAGGTGACATTGTTTGCTTGTATATACAAAATGAGGACACCAGTGACAAAATTCGCTATTGTACTGTGAGAGCAGCAATCCACCTTGAATTGTATATCATTAGTTAGGCTTTTCAAAGGTCTACAAAATAATACTATTACGCTGAGCTTAATTTGTGAGTAAGAATCTTCACTAAAACGCACAATGTTCATGAGTGCCCAAAGTTGCCCTTTTTAACTGATACTTGACGGATTTTGATCATAATATTCAAGCTTTCTATCAAAACAGATGATATATTTGAAATCAACATGCAAACTGACTCGATCTACATATGTCACAAAGTGGTCCATAAACTTTTATCTTTTTCTTTTAATAAGGAAGGGTATAGTCAGTTAATAGGAAATTTCTTCTGTGCCTTGATCCTTTTTGTTTTTATTTTTATTTATTAATGTGATGTTTCGGAGTCGAATACTCTCAGATCAAGGAAGAGAAGAAATTTCCTTTAAAGTTTCATTTTTCTCCAGAAAAGTAGTCCTAGTTCACCTGCCAACCAAAATCTCGATTTGATTATTTATCTAGCTGTTATTTCGAATTTTTTTTCTAGCTTTTTGAACAACGGACGCCTATCTTTTCATAGTTAGACTGACTCTTTGACTAAGTTTATTTTTTGACATTCCTCTGAGAGAAACCAGGCATGAATTTTTGAGGGAAAATGAAAGTTGATGAATCATTTTATGAGATATGAGGATTGACTGAATTTTGAGTCTGATTTCAAATATATCATTTGTTTTGATAGAAAGCATAACTATGAAGATCAAAATTAGTCAAGTATCAGTCAAAAAGGGCAACTTTTGGCACTCATGAACATTGCACGTTTCAGTGAAGTTTCTTATCCACGAATTAAGCTCAGTGTAATAGTAGTATTTGGTAGAACTTCAAAAGGGCTATCGAATAGTATGTAATTCAAAATGGATCGCTGCCTTTAATACACCATAGGAGAGAAGTTTTGTCATGTTCTGATATACCATTCGATAATGAAAACTTGAACTTTTATTTAGTATATAACTCAAATTACAATAGCTGAAAATGTAACAAGAACTTTTTGTATGAATATTACATATCACAACCCTATAGAGGACAGAGAACATCGAGTTTTAAATCATTCGTGTGCAGTCGGAATGAGGACTAACTAATTAATTCGAACGGAAACCTACTGCCTCGTTCTTTGATACATAATGATGAAAAAAAGAAAAACAAGCAAACAAATAAAAGGATGTGATGGTGAGTGTTGACCAGTCTGCCATCTACATCCACAAATAGTTTTTTCAGTATAACGATGTTAAATGAATCAAACAAATTGGTAGAATAGCAATTTGAAATGTAAACATTTTCGAAATCATAAAATTTCAGAGCGCGCGTATCAATTAAAAATTCATATATTTGATATTTTTTTAAATAATTTTTCGTTAACTTCTTTGATGATACACAATAAATCTGTAACAGTCAAGGTTTATCATTTTCACACTTTGATTCCTTATCAGACGGCACTGACAAGTTTTTTCTAATAGTTGCATCGAAATTTTTACATGAGTGTATGTCAATCGGAGAAATAAATCGGAAGAATCGAATTTACTGAGTATGAGTAATTCTAAATAAACTCGGTGCCATTCACGTGAGTATCACGTATCATCATAGTGACGTATGACAAAAAACTCTATGTAGGTAATAAGTTTATCAGTTTAGTGCCACATCAGCAAAATTTTGTGATTTGCAAAACATACATTTCGTTTGAGATGCGATGTGTCAACATCACGATCTTTTTTTATTTATTTATTTATTGCTACTGACTGAAATAGAATAAAAAAAGATTGACTCGTCAGTCGTCAGTATGTGTCGTTCTGTTGACAGAAAATCGAACACGCGCACATATATGGGGCAGCACTACATAATTTTAACCTATATTGAATGAGTAATCATTTACATTCTCGGGTGTGACACAGTAGAATTACTTCGTTTTATTAAAAGGACATTTTTCATTCGAAAATTAAACTAAAAAACTACGAATTCAAGTGAGCCAAAACAAATGAATAGAAGAACCGATATCAACCTACAATCTATCGAAGCTTTTCATGTCATTTGCTTGATAACAAATGATGATGAAAAGCTATTATGCCAGGACAATGATGTTGCTAAATTTCGTCTTATTGTTAATAAGTTTCGATTATTCAACGATCGAGATGCGTGTATGGATTATATTACGGAATTTGAGACAAATAAATTCTTTCTTATTTTATCTGCTCATGTTGGTGAACAAATCATTCCTCTTATTGATCAATGCTGTCAGATCGAATCAATTTATATTTACTTAGGAAGTGAAATGAAATCTGTTCCAGAGACTGAGTTCTATGGAAAAGTCTCTGGTATTTTCGTCGATATTGATTCTATTTGTGAACAGCTGAATATTGACGCTCGACGATGTTCGAATAATCTACTATCGATGTCATCAATTCCATTTCCATCTACAAGAAAACATCAGATCAATGGAAAAGATGTGTCATTTATGTATTCACAATTGGTTCGAGATTTATTTCTCAATATGGATCTTGAAATACCTTCAGTGCGTGACATGATCTTTCATTTTTCAATTAAATTTGAAGGTAACAAATGTGGATTAGCTCTAATTGATGAATTAGATCGTGATTACTGTTCGATGCAATCAAATATTCGGTCAGAAACTGTTTCAAAAAATAGATCGATATGGTGGTACACTCGATGTGATTTCGTATACGAGGTAATTAATCAAGCATTACGAATGCAAGATATTGATATGCTTTATAAAATGCGATATTTCATTGTTGATATTCATAGACAATTAAAAGAATTGTATGTAGCTCAGTCAAAAACAAAGATATCATTGACTGTCTATCGAGGTCAAGCTATGTTAAATGAAGAATTTGAACAGCACAAATCCAATATAAATGGCTTACTAACAATTAATAATTTTCTTTCGACAAGTACAGATTACCTTATAGCCAAACTTTTCGCATCCACCAATAAAAATCGACCTGGCATGCAAGCTGTTCTATTTGAAATTGAGCTCGATTCAAATATTCACTGTCAAGATTGTCCATATGCCAGTATAGAACAAATAAGTTATTTTCAAACGGAATGCGAAGTTCTCATGTCGATGGGAAGCATATTTCGCATTATTTCTATGGATAAAGATAATGATGATATTTGGAAAATACGTCTCAAATTAATCAATAAACAAGAAGATCACGAATTAGAAACAATGGCCGACAATATTTGGGAAAAGATTCGATCGTCTGATGATTTATTCAGTTTAATAAAATTATTACGTCTAATGGGTGATTTTGAAAATGCAAAAGTATATATTGATCAATTATTAAATGAATCATCTTTTTGGGATGATATACAGAATTTGGCTTTGCTGGTCAATGAAGTCGGATTAATTTGTGAAGAAGAAGGCGATTTTGCAACGGCAAGTGTATATTATCAAATATTCATGGATATGAAACAAAAGCGACAATTGATCTGTAGAAGAGATACGATTCTATCGACCTTAGAACGAGCAACATTTCAAACTATTTCGAAATATATTCAAGATATGAACAATGAAAATAATGAAAAATTAATTGAATTAAAAAATTCTTTGAAAAATGAAGAGAAAAGCTCTGTTCTGAATGAGAAAAAGTTGGCCTCTTATTGCCAACTAATTGGCCATATCTATGAGCTACAGGAAAACGACGAAGAAGCTCTTAACATGTACCAAAAAAGTTTGAAACTGTTTGTACCTGTTAGTTCAACCGCTATGCAAATCTATTCCAGTATGGCTCTCCTATATGCTAAACAGAACGATTGGTCGACATCGAACACGTACATAGAAAAAACATTAAAATATTTAGATTGCAAATCCGATATCGATGCATGCGCACAGAGCTATGAAAAAATCGGTCTTGCATACGAAGTTCAAGGACGATATGCAGATGCTGTTCGAATATACGAGAAAATCTTATCTTTTGTTCCAGATGATGACAATTATGATGAGATCGTTCTCGCTAATATTGGTTATATATACGACAAACAACAGAATTACATCGATTCATTGAAAATCTACGAACGATTATTATCTCTTCAATTGGATATGCTTTATCGTAATCATCACCGATTGGCAGATACGTATGCGTTGATAGCCAACTCACTCTATGGTCAACAAAAATATCAAGAAGCTTATACAAATCTAACAAATGCACTCAATATTGATTTTATTTCGTTGAGTGCAAATAACCCATGGGTAAAGAAACGTCAAGGAGAAATCGATTTTATTCGACAAAAGATATATGAAGCCTGAGAGAAATGTCGCTTATTCATTTTTGTGGAATGAAAGGGACTCTTTTGATTGATGTACGGCGCATTTTCATGAATCGTGTCATGTGGATTAAGTAATCGAAATTGAATGATTGCACAAGAAACGCCAAATGTGGTCTCATTTATAAATTCGCTCTAGTTATATAGATATAAGGTTTCATATCATCAGTTGTTGGATTCAAGTAAGAGAGGAAGAGATCGGTCTTCAATTATCGCTGCCACTAAAAATCTATCATGATTGCTGATAAATATAAAAAAACATTTTGTTTTTCGATGAGCCGTTCCTTCAGTTTAGCAAAAATATTGAAGCACATAGTCTAGTCGAAATTTTTCAGCTAGTTTGTGACTTCGAGATCAAGCTGTGGTGTGGACATGGGTGTGAATAAGGATGTGCATATGTGATAGCCATATATACCCGCATCTATTCACACCTAAATTAGATGTATTGGTTGAACAGTGTAATTCTGCACAAAAGGTGGACTGCCTGATCCATCTGGCCATAGTTGTGATATGTTGGACGCATCAGTACTCTATTTCAATGGCTGTTTCATTAAAGAGTCTTCTTAAACCACTATGGAGAGTTAAAGAGTTAAATAATGAATGAACACTTGTTGATGGTATGCCACAAAATAGAAATTCTTATTGAGCCAAGTTGCCAAAGAAAAAATTTAACTACAATCCAGGTGCATGACTACATACATAGTGTAACATATCTCAGTTAAGTGTATATAGAACGAACAGAATGATGAAAACAAATTTTGCATGAATTTGTCGGCCAGCTTCTAGAACTCGTTCTTGTCAGACAAACGAAAAATGAAAACATGCATCACTTTCTTTTCATTCTCATTTACTTAGCATCTTGAATCAGCATGATCATAGGCAAACTTTCGCCTTCATATTATCGATAGATCTTGAAGAAAATTTCACATGGCATTGTTTCTTCTTATATTATTTAATGATTTTGTCATAAAAAAGCAAGTTCTAATTTTGCGAAAAATTTCATTTATTCGATTGAAATACTACTACGAAATCTGATAAAAGTAATATCAGAAATAATCCTCTGAAGCATATTATTGAACAAATACAACCAGTAATATTTATTGATGATTTAAGAAGAATTTCAAAGATATCGAAGGAGTACGAATAAAATATGTGTATGTTGATCAACGAAATTCGAGGATGTGAATATAGGTGTCGCTGTCGGTATCTGGACACAGGTAGACATGAAGAGAACCGAGAATTGCACCTGTACCCTAAGTGATCCTTATTATGATGTTCTATTGTGGAGACCTGAACACTGGCGTCCGATGAAATTCGCTGAAATATTTAATGCATTTTTATCAATATTATGCTTTCTTTATTTCAAGCAGTCGTGACATTAACTGACACATTCTAGCATAGTTTCAGACAAGTGTGTCTATTTTTTTTATCGTCCATAGCGTATTTAAAAGTCCATTCTTTTGCAATTTGATTAAATTTTTCTCTTTCATTTAAAAGCACATGTCCGACTTCGAGGTTACAGATCACATCATCATCTAGATTTCTGATTAATACACATATAGATATTAGAATTGCTCGAAGGTATACAACTGGCACCCATTCTTGGCGAAGACTGTTAATATAAATCACACAGTTTGAACTAATATTTGGATGATAAATTTTTGTTTCAAATACAATGATCGATAGTTTGAGTGAAAAGCCTTCAGTGATTTTTATAATAACTTTAAATATGCCTCCTTCATAAGAAATATCTTTTGGACCAAAAAATATTTCTTTCCAGCGATATAAATCATCATCAACGCGACTGACGTCGAACATTTCAGGGGATCTTCTTGCAGTTATTTCCCTAAATTAGTAAGTCATTTTAACACAGGCATGACTCACTTATATCTAAAAATGAGATATCAGAACAATAATTTATGGCAAATTGATCTGTTGATCCTCAAATAACGAAGTTCTCAGTATTTTGACTATAATTGTTTTCGTCTCAACGCTTAGATCTGATTATTTTATCGAAAGATGCATCGTGAAATTTTCTTCGATGTTTTACTGTCGTAACTACGTTAACGATTTCTATGAAGAAATAATCTTCGGGTCAAATGAATAGACTAACTTAAGCTGCACAGCCTGGGTGCAAAACAACTGTAAAAATCACTTAACACTATATTTTGGTGATCATATGAATCATCAATAGAACATGCACAAGATGCTTACTACATCCACTTTACTTTGATGCTTATGCGCAAAAATTTTGCGCAGTGTATCCTTGTGTGTTTAATTTTACTTGCGCCGACTAGGTCTAATAAGGAATCTATGAATGGTGCACTTGTTTTAAAAATGCAAACCAGTAGATACTCAGGTGAAATGGTTCTGTATCAATGTGATGTAGCACTGATATTATCCTATTGTCGATATTCATTTTTATTGAGAAAGATCATAACTAATGGATTAGTCGTTAGTTTGTTAATAAGTCTCATTCTAGTGTCTGCAAGATGCTCCTTCTCTTCTACCTTTTTGCAACGTTTCGGCAGTCGATGCCACATTCTTCATACTTCTATTGACGAAAAATGAAGCGCAAAGTTCTAGAACANATCCCTAAATCAAAATCCCTAATCTGGATTAATTTTCGTTTTATTATCCACAAATGTGGATTCGATTTAGGGATGCATTCTGGGTACCAGATTTAGGGTAAAGGATAGACATTCAAATCCTATTTTTGGCATCAAGGCATCGTTTTGATGCAAAACCAAGGTAATATTCAGAATCAGTTTACCGAACTGCATCTAATGATATATAATAAAAACGTATTCGATTGAAAAAATATTTTCACTTTTATGAAGGAAAAGCCTAAAAAAATGAGTCGTATCGTATTTTTCCAACGCTACAAAGAGTTTTCATCTGATTGATCCTTAACTTTTACTAATTATTTGTCAATGTATGATCCAGTATTAGCCAAAGCGCTATCTCGAGCAGATGAGCGCAGCCGATGCTAGGTATTTCTCCAAAACCCACATTTTCGTCTCGAAATCCTTATTTGTGGATATGTACCCTCTGGACTCCCGCGCACACCCCTACACATCCACACCCGTCTCCTTGCCATTAGCTTTGATGGTAGAATGCTGAATCTTTATGTCGTTGCAATCATGGTGGGTCTTGAATATTTCATTCAAGTTATCGACATGTGCATCATGGCAAAGAAACTCTTTTCTATTAAATAAATCTTAGTGAATTTTTCGAACGAGTTAAATAAGTTAGAGAAATATTGAATTTAGTGTTAGAATATCGAATCAATAATTATTCAACTTTTCTCTCATAAGCGATTAGAACAATGTTAAAAGTAAAGATATTTTCTATATTGACACTCATTTCCGTTAGTAATCCAGTGGACAAAGAGGACATGATTTGTTCGCACAATTTTCTGTCTGAATATATATTGAAATTTCTCGATTATATCCACGTTAATTATATAGAATGATTTCGCTTGCCAATCGACTTCGAACGATCGAATTAGATGTGCATGTCGACGAATGTTGATCACTCACACTCTCATCAACTTGATATGTGTATCTGTCAAATAGTCTCATTCTTATTCTTAATAAAAGTGTTTTTTGTGAATTGTGCAAAACTGAACATTATATTCATATATTCATATTCCTGTTCTTACAAGAGAAGATGTCATCCAACATGATGTCGTTTGCAATGCTGACACGAGTACTGAAACTAGATATAGATACATTTCTTTCGAAACCAATCACTGTCTGAATATAAATTAATCTTTTTCGATGTTTAAAACTTATGAAGTACTCTTTATTTGCGATCTAAATACATCAGTCTTGATGCACATACAATATATGTAAATCTTGGCTCAAATTTTAACAGAAAAAAGATCTTTGTGAGCTAGTTAAAAATCGCATGACATTATTCTACTGTCTGTTACATATCAACTTATGTTCGTATAATTTCCAGTCCATTACTTGACACTCTTTCGAACAGTAGCGTGCTCTTTTACATCGACTGCAAACATGCAACGCATTTGGTTCACCACAGCATCGACACATATTTACCACTCGTTCTGATTCATTTTTGAAAATGATTGACGAAAAATCATCGACACGAATAAAAGGTTTTCCATCATTGGCACCTATTCGTAAATATGGGTTTATAATATGCATTCTCGTTCCAATTTTAAATACTTCATTGATTAAATATTCGCCTTGCGTCTCATTAAAGTCGTAAACAATCATATGATCACAATCATGATTTTCATCTTCAATCACAAGATGAATGGATGGTCTCCAACTAAGAGCTTCGTCAATAATTGTTACAAAAAGAACGTATCCATGATAGACATGATCTTTTGTTGGATTTATTTCTCTCAATGAAATCGATTTCAAACCAATCAGTGATTTAGCTTTTGACTGTTTAACGGGAGTTTTTTGTGTCATAGTATGAACCATAGAAGTGTTATTATTTCTTGACATAAAGGCTGACCATTCGCGATGTCTCGCAAATATGTCAATTCGATGAGGATTGGTAAGACGTGATCGATGGCTAGCAGTAGAAAATGGTGTTGTATTTGATAAATATTCATCATTGAATGCAGATTTAACGGTCATTTTACTAAGAGACTTATAAGGCAAAAAGTATGGTAGTTGTAGTTTTTCTGCTTCCTGACCTTGCTGATATAATTTCTTAACTAAACTTATCGAATCATCATTTGTACCAGATGCTAAATAACTACTCGCCATTAAATAATATGATTCGGGTACTTTGCAATGATCACTAGGTGCAACTGCCAGAAAATCTTGAAATGCTTTGATTACTTCATTTATTTATTTCCCTGTCGCGATGAATAAAATAGCTTTTATGAATAAAAGTTCATAATAATTTGAATCTATTTCCAGGCCAACATAGATATCCTTTAAAGTAGCTTCAAATTGTCCGAGCCTAACGTTCATGGCAGCACTAAACTCAAGAAAAAAGACTGATTTCGGATATTTTTCTTTGCATGAATCAAGAAATTGACGATTTAATTTTGGTGAGTCAATGTGTAACACGACATAACATACTCGAACATCTTCATCTAGTTGCAAATTCATAGGATCTGAATCGCAACAACAACGCTGAAATACTCGGTCAATGATATTTTTAATATTTTCTTCCATTTTTGTATTCGGTATTTTAGCGACAGTATGTTCGATGCGACAACATCGTGCGAATTCATGAATGAATATAGTTTCTTGTTCCTTTGTTAATGATTCGGATTGCGTAAGGATGTGTAATGCGACATGAAAATGTCGCAGAGCATTGCACATTTTTTCAGCTGTTAGTGAACCACGCTGCGCATATTCATTCAGTGTGTTAAGATCATAAACGTTTGAATCATTGTTTAGATTATTCGCAAGATTAATTGGTGTCGTACGATCAGGAAAGCTTCTTACTTCTTGCATTTTGTTTGAAGCATGAAACTGATAGTTTCCAAATAGTTGTTGCTTTTGATTTAGAACTAATTCAAAATCATTTCGCTGCGTTTGAGCATAAAGATTACCTGCTTCACATGCTCGATTAAACCAAATTTTTGCCATTTCAAGATCATTTACTTCCAATAAATGCTCAGCTAAGTTCATCATAGCTTTTGGATCGCCTCGTCTAGCTGACAACTCAAATAATTCTTTGGCTTTTTGAAGATTCTTTTCAACACCAGAACCATTTAGATACATTATAGCTAAGTTATTCGCCGACTCAGCATTGCCATGATCAACAGCACGTTGATACCATTGTGCAGCTAGCGAAAAGTTCTTTGGAACAAAGACGCCTTCTGCATAACGAAGTCCTAAAGAATGTTCGGATTCGGCTATGCCAATATTCGGAAGATTACATTTGGGATGTTGTGGTGACTGTGCAGCTGCTTGTTCGAGTAGTTTAGTGGCAAAATGAGGATCTTTTTTAACGCCCAAACCACGATCTGTCAATCGAGCTAAATTGAATAAACCTTCGGCATTTCCTTGATTAGCTGCTTTAGCAAAATATTTAGCAGCTTGTTCATAGTCTTGCTTAATATCAATGTCACCATGTTCGTACTTATGTCCTTTGATGACATTAGCCATGGATGAATCCACTTTTTCAAGTAATTTGTGAACCGCACGGATTTGCTGTGGATCAGTACCAAATTTTTGTTTCATTTCATTTAAATGTTCCGGTATCGTAATTGGTTGACATTTCGGATCAAGATGTTCATTTCGTGATTGTCGGCATTGGACCTGTCGACTATCATCGAGTGCTTCCTGTATTTTTTTGTTATTGGGATCAAGAGCTAATGCTCGCTCAAATGAATTAATAGCTCTTTCGTGTTCACTTAAAGCTGAATAAGCTTTACCTACACGAAAATGTCCTTGCCATGATGTTGGTGAAAGCATTCGAGCTTGTTTAGCATCACGTAGTGCATGATATCGTTGATCTGTTGGATCTTCATTATTAAATACATTTGATGAATCAAATTGCTGTTCATACAATGCTAGACGACTAGCTGACAAATTAGAATAGACGATGGCGCGATCATGATTTGAAACATCTGTTATAGTGGCTGATTTCGTAAATAACGTTATAGCATCAGAAAATTTTTGCTCTCTATGAGCTTGTGTTCCTAAAGAGTTTAAACGCAATATTTCGCGAACGTTTGATTCCTTAATCGATTGTGTACACTGCTCAAATATACTATCACTTTTGAGTTTATCTAGTTCTTCAGGAGCATCACCGAATGCGACAAGAATTGCTACTAATTTCGACCAGAATTGATAAAACTCGTTGTTGTCAATATTCTTTGAAGGATGATGCGCTAATGTATTACGAATCTCTCTTAATTGAAACCATAGTTGATCTTCATTGTCAAGCTGTTGTATTTGAGCTGTATCAAGAGTTTTCGGACGATCGGTATTCATCAATAGAGTCATTAGTGTTGTTAAATCCCATTCATTTGTATCTCCATTACAAACTAATGTTTTCTGGACTGTTGTTAAATTAAACTTTTTATTTTTTCCAATGATATTAACGAAATAACTGCCTCCACATTTCGCTGAATCGCTCCATACTTGACCACCAGTAAATAGATAATAGCGGCTTTTAAATACTTGACGAAGAATGATGCATGAACGAGCCAGCACAAGATCCAATTTAAAATAATTGCGAACGTTAGTCGGTGTAGAGACCATAGTGATTGAAATATTGCTTAAAAACAAGTTTGTTCGATAATTTCTGTAATATTCACAGAATTTTGAAATAAATTTCTCGTTTCAAAATTCAAATCTAACGATTTATGTTACACATCTTGAGTCTTGCGAAAAAAGTGTCTATCAATGCACGAGTGTTGCAAAGAACGCAAAACATTACCGGCACATGATTTCGTTGCCTTCTTTTCTGATAAGCACCTACTCAGTCAGACAGATAACAAAAGAAACGCGTCAAAATTTTAGCGAAAGTAAAATCTCGAAAAGTGCATATTGTTACACGTTCATAACGAGTTCGAGCTTCTGAACGAAGATATACTCGTTCAAAACTTTGATGAGTTATGAAGACGTAAAACTGTGTTTTTTACAATTCCGTTTTCTTTCAAGAGATTTAACCCATTTGTATGCGTTTGATTTCTGAACTGAATAAATTGTCAGAGAAAATAGCTCTATCCATAGATCTAGTTTGTTGGAAAAATAATTCAGATGGGTTCTGGGTTATCAAAAATTTACCACAATAACAACACTACAATAACTAAGAATTCAGCCGGCTTATTTTTTCAGCAAGCTAAGCCGATGGACAGATCTATTCTCTTTAACAATTTATGCAGGTGAGGAATCAAAAACATAATAATAATTGAAACCATACTATAAAAACTATTCAACAATGAACACTCTATTTCGCTCTAAAAAATGAATAGAAAGATGAAAAGTTGATATAATCGATGGATGGGTGTTTGTGCGTGTGCAATGAGGATGGGTATGGATGTCCGGGATGACTTTCTTTGCACCCACCCACACTGACATCCCACAACCTCATATGGTTCAATTACAGATAATAGATATTTTTATTTATATCTTCATAGTACATTGAGATGTGTAATACAAAAAAATTCTTGCAGTAACACCAATGAACAATAGTGAAGAATCATCCGAAAATCGCATTTTAAACGGGTTTTGTGCAATCAAATTATAAACCGAACAATCGATTTTTTTTCGATAGATTTGCTCTCAACGAACACTCGAACTTTCAATGAACTTGAAGTGATCGAAATCTATTACAGATGAATTTTTTCTCTTCGAGTAGTCGAAATATATTCAAGAAGTCGAAAATCAGTGATCGATAGGAGAATATTTTCGAGGACTCGATAGTTGATGGCTACCGAGATTGATGAAACTCGAACAAAATGAGAAAAAGAAAATATGGTAAAGTCTCGAGTATGTGTCGCACTCATCGCTCGCTTTTTAGGTCTACTTGGATGTAAAGGGTAGCCGAAAAGTCTTTTAACAAAAGGAAAATGAAATATCTTGATCGCATTCCAACTAAATGAGATAGTTTTTTTTTCTTGATGATAAGATGAAAGTTCCAAGTTTTTTTTCATAAATCAACAACTAATTGGCATACTTGAAATTTAGTCTGATCTACTTAAATGCAGAGTTTTTTTTTCTTTTTCGAGAATACCTGTATCAGTAATAAATCGCAAAAAACACAAAGCTATTCAAAAACCTTTTGGCATATTCCATTTTTGTACAGTTTTTTTCGCTGATTATTTTAGTAAAAGAAATTTTCTGTTGTCACCAACAAATGATGGTGCTAGGGCCAAAACACTGGAAAAAAGTGGAACTGCTTGTTTTAAGCAATATAATATTTTACAGTATTTGCATCCTAGCGTCATCATTTGTTGGTGACATTATAAATATCAGAAAGGATCCTTTGAGGCGTCAGAAAAACTAAATAGGCTAGCGAAAACTCAAAGATTGTAAATAAACTATTTAAATAATTGAGAAAACTCTCAAATATAAGGCAGTCGAATTTTATTACAGAAACAAAACAATCTATCGTCTATGTTTACCACAGACTATAAATGTTTCATTTTTAAATAGCTCAAAATAGTTTTAAGCGCTGTTATTAAACTTTTTTGTTCATAAATAAAAACTTGAAACTTTTCTCTATTATCGGAAAAAAAAACTAGCTAATTTGATTGACATACGACAGAGATATTTTCTTTTGTTTTTGTCAAATGTCTCTTCGGATACCATGTAGCTGTGAGATGAGAAGAATACCTACACTTCCCGCACCCAAAATTATACATGTTGTTTCCTTTATCGGATGACACAATGATTAAATGATTCAATTTTATAAATTGATTGATCTAGTTGTTATTTCTTTAAAATTATCAAAATTATTAGTAAAAACCTTTGTATTCATGTAAAATATATTTTATATTTTTCGAATAAGAAAAAAGTAATTGTATATGATATTAAATTTCTTTTGTATTGTTTTTGTAATTCGTTACACGTTACCCAACGAAATTTTATATTAATATCCTATTGTCATTCAAATTATCACTAGTCTTATTCGTTGTATAATCTGATGCAATGTGCTGATGATAGCTACTCGACAGTGCCATATATGAACAGCAAAAGCGATCACAGTAATTATAAAAAACGTAAGAAAGATTCCACCTAAGACATTGAGTGAAAACGTTTTACTGTTCGGACCATCCGTTTGTTTCAAACTGCTAGATGATGATGAACATGTTCGATCATTCATCCACACATTTTCTAATGATTCTAATTTTTCGGATTCACGTAATGTCACAATATTGACATCTAAATCTGTCTTATATAACCAATTTTTAGGTAGCACAATTGCAAATGATGATTTAACAAAGCCAACACCGGTTACAGTTAATTCATTGCAATAATAATTGTTAACAGCATATTCAAGTATAGATGAATCCCATATGGATGCATCAATTGCATGATCAAGTAATCGCAAGTATATATCTTCCACTGTAGCAAGAGAATGGTATTCAGTAGAAATATTTCGTATATAATAATCGGATATGGCTGAATTGGTGACAATTCCAATACGTGAAAATGGTAATAAGCCATTTTTAATATCATCAATACCAGAAATAAATGGTTGACCACGATGTAACGTAAGAATAGATGAAAGATTAGCTGTATATGTTGCCCCAAGAATAATACCTAATATATATATACCTAAAACTGTTAATCGACTTGAAGTTGTTGTTAAACGTATATCATTACTCATGATTAAAAGACTAGTCAATGCATTACCTATACCAATCAAAGTAGTCTTTAGTTTAGATTGACTATTATCAATGTTTCTATTTTGAAATTCAAATATATAAATAATAATACTTGAATAAATCATAACTGTAAATATTGCTGCCCATACATCCCAAGTAAACGGATTAAAACATGAGAAAAGACTCAATGATGATGAATACTGATTTAGTCGAGTAATGATTCGAAAAGTATTTTCATGAAAAGGTGTAGAAAAGTCAACTTTAAGCATACGATCTGAAGTCATTGCAATATTAGATAAAATAATATCATATTGATGATTATCTTCCGCTAGTAATGCAACAAGCGAATGATAGGCTGTTGATGGATCAGCTACATAAACTGTATAAGTAAAGTGCATTTGCGCTTGAAGTTCACGAATGAAATCAGCAACAAATCCATAAACAAGAACTTTTGAATCGTTAACTTTCAGAGAGTTATGATGAAAATTGACTCGTTCTAAGTTTTTAGCATAGTTTGAAGATTGATCGTAAGTCGAAGAATTCTGTACTATAACGAATGGAGGTGCTTCCAAGACGAGAATTCGCAAATGTTGACCTAAATATAATGTACAGAAATTATATCATTACTTCAATGAATATAAAATTGAACTTTATTTTGTCTTAAAATAAAAATGTAAAACATAGGGCACTACAAATTCTTTTTCGTCCAGCTCTCTTAAAAGACGTATTTACAACAACATAATTCTCTTATAATGCTTAGACATATTTAAGATCATGCACGAAATTTCACCTTTAGAAGTCTCTCCTTAGGTTGTAGTTTTGCATTTCTTTCAGGCTAGGGTTAATGTATTTTCTATATTAATTTTAAATTCTCATGAGAATACTTTCGAAATATGATTTTACATGGCTAGTAAATTAATTTAATCTGCAAGGAAACCCGTGCCCATTCAGTATGATCAGGACTGAACTTAGTATCTTCATACTATATACTAATCAATATGTTTCATTAATTTCGACAGAATAATATCAGCATTAAAGATAAAGCCCTGTCAGATCACCCTATAGCAGCTCTAACCGAAGAAACTTTTAATGCTACTCCAGCAATAATTGAAGATAATTCTCACTGAACATACAAATAAATAGAAGATACTTTGAGCAACATTTCCACAGTAGTTATTTCAATTAATCTGATCTGTTTAAAGTTTTACAAAGTTTTGTGCTCTATGGGTGGATTATCAGGTTATTGATGACTGAAAGTGGTTCCATGTTCAATTGCACTGTCATTTACTAAAGAAATTTAAAGGAACTAATTTCATATTGTTTCTTTTTTGCATTACCAGTAGTGACATAGTTTTATCATAATGATAAAAATATAATAAAGTAATCGAAATGTGAAGCCTTAAAAAATAGTTCATGCATTACGAAGGCTCACCGAAACAATAGGATAGACCAACGAATCGTGCCAATTTTCTTTACAAAACCTAGTATAACTAACTCTATCCCATTAGGATCTAATAAACGGAAGTCATCCTCTTAATGACTGCTTAACACATGTTTCTAAAACTACACAATGACTTAATACAAGACTAGCACTTGAAGTTTCAGTTTTCACTATGAAAATGCGAATCCACCGATAGTCTGAGTTACAAAGGAATTTTGAGCAAAAACTCATATTGAATAATATCCAAATTGAACATAATCTTCAGATCTAAACTCGTTTGACTTCCAAAATTCAAATACGAACTACATCAAGTCGAATTCAATGGTGACAATATAATGCTACATGTGTTACACCAAGTCATAATCTTCCTCAGCTAAGACAAACTCAAAAAACCACTTCTATCATCTAGTTTAATCTAATGTGCAAGTTCATTGTTGCAGATGGGTAATACCTTGGAAAATTACACTAGAATCAGCCTTTGAATGTTTGTCTAAAGGATTGACGAAAAACCTTTTGTAGTGTCCCATGATAATTATAGAAAAGAATATTGAGAAGAAATCTTTATTCAAATCAGCATATTGAAAAATTTTGATCCTATTGGGGAACAGTCTTAGATATCTATCAGTATATTTCTGAGAAGATGGAACATTTTTCGTTATTTACGGTAGTAGGATCCAATACTGTAGCACTATCATACTTTCGAATTTGTATATGAAATCTTGCCCCAATCAAAACCTTCATAAGAGTAATTTAGATAAAAAATGTTCTAATGTACGAAGTAAGTTTCTCGAAGATATAAAGGTATCAAAAGAAAACACATTATTTAAATATGCTCTCTACGAAAAAGAAGTTATACTTCACAAGTTTCTTATCTTGAAGAAGCTTGGTTGAAATATTCTGAAAATTTTAATGGAAGCAAATGTTATTAGCATTTCCATCTGAACAAAGTTGCAGATCGCAATTCGAGACCATGGTCTAGCAGCGATGTTAGATCTACAACCGATATTGACTAAAAATTCGCTCGATCTCCTTAGAAACTTGTTTTAAACACAAACATTGTTTTCTAATAGATGCTGTTCTCCTTAAGATCTACCGAATGCATCTAAAACCCACTCAAAAGTGAACGAACACCTTGAAATATTTTCTCGACAGATGTACATATGCATGTATGATAATTCGAAAACTTCTGATTTTTCTTCATTTTCTATTTATTTTGTTTTTTCTTTCTACTTGTCAAATGATTTCAGTTTTTTTATTAACGATTCTCTAACCTCGAAGTTGTGGATAATCAGCAGGCACTTTTGTATTGTCGTGATTTGGCCAAATGATAAAAGTATTGTTTTCATCAGTAGAATTCGTCCAATTACGACTTGTTTCATACCATGTCAGTACTTTTATATAGTCTAGTCTTTTTTCTTTACCTTTTTTCGACATCGTCGATTGTACATTGTAGAGGCCATACATGGCACCATGCATACGATCACTTGAATTAATTTTTGAAAATTGAATACTTCCAGACACGCCGGAAAAACGAGTGTCTTTTAGATGCAAAAGATACTCGTCATGGTTTTGTAATAAATTATCAAAACAAATCAATGATTTATTCATTGATGGTGATTTGTGATTAAGCACTGATTTATTTAATGCTTGGATTAAAGCCCAAACAGCATCGAATGTATACATGGCCTCTAGACTAACAGAAGATACAAATTCTGAAAGATCGTCTATGTTATGTGATAAATTGCGCCAAATATCAAAAGCCTCTTTTCGTAATGTTTCGTTAATACCAAAGGCACTACTATTGCCTATAAAAGGCACTACAGTAAGAATACCATTTAAATAAAGCCATTCATTTTGTTCGAATGTATTTAAATCAATCTAAAAATCATAGTATTACAATAGAAATTAAAATGAATCGATTAATCTATGATGATCAAAAGACACAAGGCAAAGTTGTTAGTGTCACCAGAAATGCATATCTATGTGTAGATTTTTCTTTATATGATGGTTTAATTTCTATCAGAAAACGGATGAACTTCTGAAATTAAAATATTCTTCAATATACCTTATTTGTCGTTATCCATACATAGTTTTTGCCTAAAAGACTTGCATTAAGTGCATGTTGAATAATTCTTGTAGATGAACTATCATTTGCCCAGACTAGTACAATACGAGATCGACTTTTTTCTAATGTTTGCTTTAAATCAGCTTGAAATTTATCGACACGTGGATCAAATACTAATCTCTCTTGAATTGATATATTCACATAATAAACTTCTGATAATATTTTCAATCCACCATAACCATAATCATCATTTCCAATAATTATTGAACAAGTTATCCATGAAAAATATTTGAACAATTTCGCAATAGCTTCGGCCGCAAGAATATCCGAAGGAATCGTACGATAGAATGTTGGATAACTCAACTTATCGTCAAGATCCGCATTAGTTGCAGTATATGAAACAAGTGGTAAATGTACACGTGCCGCAAATGGAGCAAGATAACGCGCACTACTTGAACTTGTTGGTCCGACAACACCTACAACATCGAGTGCTGTTGTATTAGTAATTAATCGACAGACAAGCTCAAGTTCGTCAAAGCCACCACTACTTGCATTTGTCAAAAGAATAGAGCCATTGATAGGATAACCATCAACGTAGATCTCGTAGCGATTGGCAAGAGTAATAGCGACGTTAAACATGTCCTTAGATTGAGTTATCCAATGGCAATTTTGATTCACGTTCAAACACTGAGAAGGTGCATCATGATGATCAGGAAAAAGACCAACAATCTGAACACTATTCAAATAATCAGGACATAGAATAAAGCCGATAAGTAAAATAAGAAAGTGAGACATAACTATTCCAAGAGAATTGAATGAAATGACAGAGTTGTTCCTAACAATTTTTTTATCTATATTTCATGAATGTTTTTTTTTAATTTTCTGCACAGATGGAAACCCTTTCGAAAAGTTGGCAAAATCATTATTTAAATGATTATAATGAAAACATTTATTAATAATGAACTTTCTGCTCTTATCTTTTTCATGATTTATTGCTCGTAATCATTTCAATGTGTATATTGTTTGACGTTATCAGAAACATTATTGATAATATACGCTTGCGTTCAAATAATCTCTACAAAAATAATGTTGGGAAACATACGATGAAATCATCTTGATAATTTCTATTCACGAGAGGGATATAAAAATATTCGTAACTTAGATATTGGAAATAAACTGTTACTTCTGACTATTCGAGTGTAGTCGTTACTTGGCAGAAACAACAGTGTGCATGATTAGTACTGCAGCATAATCTCGTTATTATCAATAGTTTACTTTCGAACTGAGATTCTTCCGACAGCTAACACGCATACAGATACCAAAGTTGCTACACAGTAACCTCCACCATATTTACAGAGTACATAGTCAAAGCGTAGCACCTAACAACCCAACAGCGATGCATTCAACAACATGCATTGCAATAGTCATACCGACAGTAGAATCTATCGCTTGCACCCACATCCACATCTGAAGTCACACCCAAGCTCATTTTTGCAACCGCATCCATACTCAACTTTACTTATGGCGTTGGAAATTTATGGTTTAGGGTTGTTTGGGCTCTAAAAGTGGTAGTATCTATGTGGGTGTGGATTTGAATATTGGTATTAATTTCAGACTCACATCCACAGCCAAACAGTTATTGAAAAAAAGCAGGTCATTTTTGGCACCTTGTGATTTCCAGTACGACGATCAAAATAAATCTGATTCTTATCCGAGTGATCTCAAGCTTTTTGTATCGACTTGCAAGACGTCCGCTTGTAACGTGGCTGAGACAGTAGAAGTGATTGTTACATTTAAAAACCGATACATTTTCTGAAGTTTTGTAGAAGCCTGATTTTTTTTCTATAGAGTAATTTCGATTTTCTAACAAGCCATTCTTGCATAGAGACGTCTTACATGCGGGAGCGAAAATGATGACTCAATCGGTTATTAACTAGATGAGTCGTGATCATCGCATTCAAGGACACGAGCTGTCCCAATTTGCCTGTTTTTCTAATGTTTGTCTGTTGGTCCCGACCTCTGCGGAAGAAAATAAACATTTTCACGAGATTTAAGATCGATAAAAACTTGTGTTTTCTTGCAAATTTAAGCTGAGCCAAGTAAATAAGAGCGTGACATTCAGAAGTCCCGACGTATGTAGTCTGCCACTCGATCGGAAACCAAGAAATTCTGCGATTGCGTAACTTTGTAGAGTAGTTATAGAGTATAAGATAGATAAGTAACAGTGAAAGATAATAACTTGTCTCTAATGTGCAAGGCAGTTTTTCGAACGTTCCACCAGAAAATTAGTTAAGTTGTATTCCAAATTTTTGAATTTGGCATCGGTTGACGTCTACTTCCGAGTTTTGAAATTCGCTGGATCGTGTCATTTTGCAGTTTCGAACTATTCGATGTCTTCCGGCAGAAATTCGTTTTTAAAAGGTAACTACTAACTCGTCTGTGTCTTAGCTTTCTATCTCTATAAATTTATTTTCTTGGCAGTAAGAAAACATAGGAAAGGAAGACTAGTTCTAAGATATACAGATGATGTATAATTATATAACATCACGTTTAAACCCTTAAAAAATTCTTTAATTATTTCGAAGTTGAATGAAATTTATATGAAACACTTGATAGAAACAGAAACCAAATGCTTCATTGGATAGCATCGGTAACTAATATGAGATCTGTACGGAAGCAATGCTTAATATATTTTTTTCTTTTTATAAGAAAGAATGAGAAACTTTTAGAGTTGCGTGTGGTAAGATGAAACAACATACAATGATGGAACAGACTAGTTAAATGATGAGAGAAATAGATATAGAATACCAAGGCTAGGAAGGAAAGTTAGAGGAAGGAGAAAACCTTGCCAAAAGAGAAGAAAGCAAAGATCCATTAGAGCTATTTTTATTGTAATTATTGTTTTATTCTAAGTATAGTCGATAATTTAGATGTTATTAATTTCTAATAATAAAAAACAATAATTTTACTTCGGCTTCTGAAAGTTAAAAGAAAGTGAAAATGCTATCTCTACTCAGTAAGGCTCACAGTAGATACTGTCTCCATGTGGTTGATATTCATAACTCGTTATCATTTTCATTGTCACTGATAAGATTTAGGGAGCATTCGAGAAAAAGGACAGCTTCAATAAGTGGTTTTTTTCAACCTCAATCATATTAACCGGTGACAAGACTCAACAAAACATATTTCGTGTGGTGATCAAAGAGTTTGTAACAAAGCATCATTGTGACAAAAAACGACACCTGCTTTTCCAACATGAATCGATCGAATATTTTGAAAATTGTTCATTTGAGCTTCTCTTTTCTACTCATTTTCATGTCGTTCTTCGTGGTACAGATGTTTCAAACATCGTCTAAAGATCCCAGTGCCGGCGCCATTGCGTTATTTCTACTCTACATAAGTTTCTGTGCGTCGAACTTGATTTTATCGTCCTATTTAGTGCAATTGTTGGGTCTTCGTTTGTCACTTGCCCTAGCTAGTTCTGTCTACGTAGCTTTTGCTGCTTGTAACATCGTATATATCAAGTGGATACTATACGTTGTTTGCTTTATTCAGGGTATTGGTGCAGCGGTCCTGTGGACAGCTCAAGGTGCGTATTTGACATTAGCAACTAATGAACATGAAGCTCGCAATCAACTCATGCCTTCATCAACGCGTGGTCTGATGAATGGAATCTTTTTCGGAGTGTTTCAGTTTAGTCAAGCACTAGGAACTCTACTCGCATCTCTATTGTTCTATCTTCAGCTACGTGAATGGATCATTTTCTCTACTATGACCATCATTTGTGCTTTTGGAACGATCACTTTATGTCTACTGCGACCTGTACGCATGCCAGCAAAAACAGGTATAGAATGAATACTCGGCTTTCATCTAAATCAGGCATTGAGATAAGTTCGACACAAGGCTTCTAAAACTCAACACGATCTGATTAAAATACATGAACCTTCTTCCGTAAATGAATGTTTTTCAGTCAGTAAGGAATGGAGAGTTAGAACATCGACTTTTGCTGGAAAACAGCTTTTATAGAAAGGAAAATCTTTTTGATAACCAATAGATGCTCATTTTACTCTTTAGAACGAAAACAAAGCTCAGTAATCTCCAGCTTATCACTGCTGAAGGATATTCATTTTCTGTTTCTGGTACCAACGATTATCTACTATGGCCTCCAACAATCGTTTATCTATGCTGGCCTACCACCACTAATTAAGGACAAGACCCGTAAATATTTTGTCTTCGCTGTAGCAAATAGTGTAAATATAGTTAGTGCCATAGCTTTTGGAAAGCTTAGTGATCGACTTTGTCGTCGTCTACCGGTTTGTATTTGGAGTTTACTACTACCGACTGCTCTCTACGCACTTCTCCTTACTATCTGGAAATCGTCCATAGATCAACAAAATATTTACATATTTATTACACTAGCGATTGGAATCGGCATGAGCGATGTCATTTTGAGCATAGAATTAAATGCTATATTAGGCACGTTCTTTGGACAGACGCGACCTTCCGATGCTTTTGCCAACTTCAGATTATTTGCAGCAGGCGCATCAGCACTTGGTTTTCTATTACTAAATTATTTCTCATTTCGTGTGTCGCTGTTGACACTCATCTCTCTGATGGTAGTCTCCTTGATAACACTTATTATTTGTCATTACGGATTTGCATCAATTGACACTGAAGTAAAGGTGCCGACAGCAACTGAAGAAAAGAAGATGACTGAAGAAGCAGAATTACCTCTACAAACAGAATTAGCCACTAGCGCTACGAAAGAAATTCTTTGACATCATTATCATATATAATTCGACCAGAAATAACTGTTATTTTCTGAAAAAATTTAGCAAAGTTTTGCATTGATTAGATGTTACGACTATTTTTGAAAGAATTCTAATTTGAACTGCTGATTAAGTTTTCAATGATATCCATAAGTGTCATAATGAAGATATGCGGCAATAGTGAATAAATTGAAGATTTTGCCTGAAGACTTGAGCCAGAGCATTGCTATGAAAACTACGATGAATATCTTCTGAAAAAGTGAAATAAGACTATTCGACAAGATAATTGTTAAGAAAATAGGTGATCATGTGAATGTGAATGAAGAGAAAAACTTTATACGCGTTTAGTAAAGGCAAGGCATATTAATTTTCAAACACCTGATTGTTAGACTCAAGTTGCGGTCTGATTCGTTAAGTAGTTTGTTCAACAGAATCAAGAGGTTCCTGCAACTAAGAGCAAGGTTCTCCAACGCTCTTGTCCTGTTTTTTCGTTGGCCACTTGTAATTTAACTGACAAAACTTAGACAAATAGCACTCGCCGACTGAGTATAAAACATAGAATTAATTCGTACATAATACTGTCCCTTTAACAATTGACTGATGAAATTATTATTAGTTTTTTGTAATGTCTCAATCACCAAAAAGGATTTTTTTATCACTTTGCTCATTGAAACTACAATTGGACACTAAAAACGAGTCTCATATGAATTACACCATGCTCACTTGCTTTTTTATTCTTGGATAAATATCGGTATAGTGATTGCTGTCTGTTAATAACTCTCATCAGTTTGAGGGTGAGGATATGGGTGGAAGTTCAGTAAATATTGACACCCACATCCACACCCGCACCCGTACTCCACCAACACCAACACACTCAAATCCATACCGCTGCACCCATACCAACCCACACCCATCAGTCAATGAAAAGTAATAATCCATTTTAAAAGCCAGTAGATTATTATATGTATGAACATGAATGTTCTATTTCTCTGAATTTTTCTCTGAACGATTCTATTTCCTAGTATT